GGCAGCACGTCTTCCTCAACCAGCAGTCAGAGAGTTCTGCCTCTAGGAGGCCTCCCTTTTGAGCCCGGAAGGGTGGTCAAACTAGCCAATCACAGCATCAGAACTCTAAGCACATGAGAGAGAGTGGGAAGCTCCCAGAACATTGTATTGTGCCACGCCCAACAGAAATAACCCAGGTGGGCGACTTTAAAATCAGGATCTCCTCCGTAGCTAATAGCAATTCCCACCTTGGAGTTTACAAAGACTTGGTAGAAAAGCCACACTAAATAATTTACTACACCGCAGTTTTAAAGAAATTTTTTAGAGAAACATTGCCCTAATCAACTAAGTGACTAAGTTTTGAAAGGAATCTTTATTTGGTATATGGATTTTTTTTTTTCTTTAATGTTCATTGAGTGTATTCTTTTCTCCTTGACTGGGTCATTTCATCCCCACTCACCTAGCTCTTTCTGGTGATGAGATATCAGTTTATTTATGTGCGTAGATTAGTGAGAAGGCTTGGATGGGTGAGTGACAGACAGGTATTTTGATTCTCTGGATTTAAATTCATATTACCACAAACCACAAATAATTGGAAAACTTAACGTTTTTCATTGTTAACTTGATTAGCTTGTATTTTCACAGGGCACTAAAACTCTTTCCGTAGGAAAAATTTACTTGAGAATAGGCCTGTAAGTCATGAAGAATCTAAATTTTAACGCCTAACAGGTACACTGGCTAAAACAATAGGCTCAAACATACCTGAACTTACTCCACAACACCTAAAAACATGCTATTATTGGTCTTTGGAAAATTGTCACTACTAAATGCTTTCCTTCCTTTTTTATTGTAACATGTAAATACCCAAACATGTGCTAATTCAACATTTTCTAGATGTGCAATTCCATGACAACTGATACTGACCCTGAAGTGATGTTGGTTAGTTATCTTTATCATGTTATACAACCATTACCACTGTTTCCAAGTTATTTCACCACCATTAACAGACAGTCAGTGCTTTCTAAGCAAAAACTTCCTCTTTCCCTTTCTGACCATCCTTGATAACCACTAATAAACTTTGGTTTCTTTAAAATAAAAAACACCTGCTGCCATTGAGTTGATTCCAACTCATAGCGACTCCCATTGGGTTTCCAAGATGGTAAATCTCAACAGAAGTAGATTGTCCCATCTTCTTTCTGCAGAGCGGCTGGTGAGTTTGAATCATCAATCTTCTGGTTAGGAGTAAAATGCCTATGCACGGCACCACTAGAGCTATGCATTTGCTTATTTCATATAGGTGAGACCTTACAATATTTGTCCTTTTGTGACTGATTTATTTCACACAGCATGTTTTCAAGCTCTTTCTACATTGTAACGTTAGGACTTCATTTCTCTTTATGGCTGAGTAATACTCCGTTGTATGTACATACCACATTTTGTTTATCCATTCATCTATTGATGTTTCTACCTTTTGGCTATTATGAACAGAGCTGCAATGAACATTGGTGTACTGAACTTCTTTCTTTGTGACTTTGAGCCAAATTCTAGCTTCCTTTATTTCATTTGTACTTCAGTGAGGATGAATTACCATTTTGAGCTGAGCTGGCCAATGACTTAAAAACAAAACAGAAACTATTTAAGAAATCAAATTTTAATTTTGTAGTGAAGGATTTAGGTGTTTTATCAGGTTAAAATATTGTTCTTGCTGTGAAATACCATGCTGAAGACACAATAGATAGCACAGAAACTTGCTGCTAGTTTCACTTTCAATAGAACTAGCAATTAACTTTAATTGGTCTCTTCAACCATGCTTATTTCTCTTCCTGGAGAAATGGAAGCCCTTTAACTGGTTTGACTACATTAGTCTCCTGCATTTGTCAGCTTAGACATCATTTTTGCATTTATAGAAGTGGAGGCCATTCTGCTTGAAGTTTGATGGGATTGTAGAAGACTTCAACTATGGTACTTTGCTGCGACTAGATTGCTCTCAGGGCTACACTGAGGAAAACACTATCTTTGGTAAGTTTCTTGCCTCTGGGATTATTTATGTATAAGGAGAGGAAGGATCTGGTTTTATAGATGAATCAGTGACATGTAATTAAATCATCTTATTTGTTATATCTTTAAAGATTACATTGCTGTTTCTTAAATAACTGTGAGATAGTTAAATATTTTCAACCTCATTAAGAATAGAATTAGAATTCCAGATCTCTGAAGCTTATGACTTATACTTGAATGCTTTGCATGTTAGCTCAGCTTTGTCTATAAATTTCCAGTAAGGTTAGGGAAATAATGAGTTAGGACAATAATCAATTCTATTTGCTTTCCAGCCCCCAGAATACAATTTTTTGCCATTGAAATTGCTCGGAACCGGGAAGGCTTTAACAAAGCAGTTTACACCAGTGTGCAGGACAAAGAAGGAGAGAAACGATCTGACAAAGTTAGAGAGAAAGTAGCCACAAGTGGAGGAAAGAGGGGAGCTGAAAAAGGAGGACAACATGAGAAAGCTGACAAAGGGGAAGAAGAGAAAAAAGCCGACAAAGAAACCAACAAAGGCAGTGTAACAGCTATGTAAGGTAGACACCACTCTGGAAACTGACTCAACTGAACCTACAAGTACCACGGTGCTATTTGCACATACCCCTTTTGTTAGTTGTATGTCGTTGTGCAATTGAAGAACATACAGAAGGACATCTTTCTAGCTTAATACTCAGAAGCTACTCTGGTCATTCCCTCATGTGAACTGGCTTATGTCTGTATCAGTATGACTCTAATGACTCTACTAGTGGGGTCTTTATTAGTGGGATCTCAGTTGATTGTTTTTTGGTATATTGTTTCTTGGTTCTTACCACTGGTCAAGTAAGAAGTTTTATAAATAAATTTCCTTCAGTTCTTATGATTATCTATAGCTGTACTTAGAAAATGTATTTAAAATTATTTAATACTTCAGATTTTTTTTCAGGTATATAACATCTTTAGCCATGTCTTAGATAAAATGATTTATGCCTGTTTCTTAATTCTTTTCACTATTTTTTATAGTAAAGTTTTCTCATACCTGATAAGTTGTACACAGTGTAAAGGTTAGAAATACTTATATATGAATTGACTCTTATCCTTTGAGTGACTATAGCTCTGTCTTCTTTTGATATATCTGACATAAGATTTGACAAATATGTTATGGGAAAACAGCAGCAACTTGAACCTGTCAGACCGTTGAGTACAGCCTAGTTCATATTAGAGGAGCAAGAGAGGACCTACTTCAGTATCTGCTTTTCTTCAGGTTGTGACATGAAAGCTTGAAATAATAATAAATACAAAGCCTGGTAGGGTGGCTTCCCTTTTCAATGCTATGGACAATAGTGGACATTTATACATTAATGCAAAGTGAACATATTTTTAAAAATTATTTTATTGTATTTTTGGTAAAAATATACATAGCAAATGAGTTCCCATTAGATAATTTCTACAGATAATGTCTAGTGGCATTAGTCACATTATTCATTGTGTCAATATTATTTATGTTCTACTTGTCCCATTCCCATTAACTTAGTCTCACTGCCCTTCAAACATCTCATCTATGCTGCCGAGTAACTGTTGTCTGTTTGGCCCAATATAATTTATTTATTTATTTAGTTTTGCATGAACACATTTAATTTGAGTAGCTCTATGTCATATAAAGGAGCTCTGGTAGCATAGTGCCTAAGGCACTTGACTGCTAACCAGAAGGCTGGCAGTTCAAACCCACCAGCCACTCCTCGGAAGGAAGATGGGGCAATCTACTTCCGTAGTGATACTGCCTCGGAAACCCAAGGAGGGGTCGCTATGAGTCGGGTCCGACTCAATGGCACATAACAACAACAACAACAACATGTCATATAAATGTTTTCAAAAATGGTCCTACAGGGTTTTCAGTGAAGGTTTACACAGCAGTTTAGGTTCCCATTCAACAGTGTCTACACAAGTTGTTCAGTGATATTGCTTGAATTATTCACAATGTGTGAACATTCTCATTATTTCTGTTCTATTTGTTTTGTTTCCATTAATGTAGTTTCCTTGCTCCTTTATATTCTCACCTTTGTTTTAAAGTAATTGTTGACAGTTTGATCTCATATAAGTGATATTTTTATAGGAGCACAATACTTATGGGTGATACTCATTTTTTTTTAGTTGATTTGTTATGTAGGTACAAAGTGAACTTGAGTTAGTTTCCATTCAAGGTTTGAAACATGTCTCAGGGCAATAGTCTTGGGGAGTCCTCCAGTCTCATTTTTATCAGAGTCCATCTCTTGTGGCCCTGATTAGAATAATCAGTAGTAGTAGATAGGTACCATCTAGTTCTTCTGGTCTCAGAGTAGATGAGGCCTTGGTTTCTTGTAAACAATTTGTGTTTAGACTAATTGTTTCCGAGTAAATAATTTTTTTAAAAGGACATAGTATTCAAGGATGATATTCTTAACTTTTTTTTAACTTTTATTGTGATTTGGGTGGGTGTTTACAGAGCAAATTCATTATCCATACAGCACTTCATACACATTTTGTCTCATGACATTGACTGCAGTTCCCTACAAAGTAACAGCTCTCTTCCCACTTCCTCCCTGTAGTTACCTCTTCCCTGTGTCCTCCCAATATTCTTTACTTTTTGAGCTTAACTTGTATTTAGTTAAAAGGTGTTGGCATAGTGCCTAAGGCATTTGACTGCTAACCAGAAGGTTGGCAGTTCAAACCCACCAACCACTCCTTGGAAGGAAGGTTGGACAATCTACTTCCGTAGTGATACTTCCTTGGAAATCCAAGGAGTCACTATGAGTTGCCTCTGACTCGATGGCAGTGATTTAGGTGTTTTGGTTTTCAGGGGATAGTTTTACTTCAAGGTTTAAAGAGTATTTCAGAGCAATAGTCTCAGGGATTCCTCTAGCCTCAGTAGGTCCAGTAAATGTGGATTATTTGAGAATTTGAAGTATCATTCCACATTTTCTGCCTTTCTATCAGGATCCATCTATTGTGTCCCTGATGAGAATATTCTTGATAGTGGTAGCCAAGCACTATTTCTTCTGGTCTCTAGGTAGAGGAGGCAGTGGTTCATTGAGACAGTTAGTCATGTAGTCCAGGTCCTTTTCTGATTATTAAGTTTCCTTCTTTCTCTTTTGCTCCAGACAAATAGTTATATCTTAGATGACCATTTGTCAGCTTTTAAGACCCTAGACACAACTCACCAAACCAGGAGATAGAACATAAACTTTAAGCAATGTGTTATGCCAGTTGATTGAATTGTCCCATGAGATCAAAAAACTAATCCCATGGGATGATTAGTTATCTCTAAGTAGTGTCAGGAGCTCTGGTAGCATAGTGCCTAAGGCACTTGACTGCTAACCAGAAAGCTGGAGGTTCAAACCCACAAACCACTCCTTAGAAGGAAGGTTGGACAATCTACCTCTGTAAGTGATACTGCCTTGGAAACACAAGGAGGGATTGCTATGAGTTGGGTTTGACTCAACGGCACATAACAACATAACAACAAGTAGTATCAGCATCTATAACCCATTTTTATTTAGTTATTTTGGTGGTTGTAAAATTAATATATAACAGCATTTACCAAGTCATCATGTCTCTTGTGTACAACTTGGTGGCATCAATTACATTGGTCTGGTTGTGCAAACTTCACCCACAGTTGGTGCCACCTCTCCCATTACTATAAACAAAAAGCAGCTACTACCTAGAGAATTTGTTGTTTTCTATCTTTTGATCAGGGCTGTTTTAGCAAGGATGAGATAATATCTCGTTGTTGTTTTCATTTGCATTTCTAACAACTAATGACCTGAACATCTTTTTATATGTTTGTTGGCTGCTTCAATGTCCTCTTTGGTAATGTATCTGTTTATTTCATTTGCCCATTTTTTAATTGGGTTATTTGTCTTTTGATGTTGAGTTGTTGATATTTCCTATATATTTTAGAATTTAAACCTTATCAGATACATCATTCTTACAGATTTTTTTCCCAGAGTGTAGGTTGTCTTTTTAATCTTTTGATAAAGTCTTTTGATAGGCATGAATGTTTAATTTTTATGAGGTCACAGTTATCTATTTTGTCTTCTGTTACAGCATTTGTAGCTTTGTTTGATAATAACTAGGTCTCTTGTGTTTTCTTCCAAGAACTTTATGGTTTTACCTTTAACATATAGGTCCTTGATCCATTTTTAGTTACTTTTTGTGTATGGTGTGATGTATATGCTCTGTTTTATTTTTCTACATGTGGTTATCCAACTTTACTAGCACCATTTGTTGAAGAAACTGTTCCTCCCCCATTGAATAGACTTTGGTCCTTTGTTGAAAATTAATTGTTCATAGATGAATTTCTTTCTGGGTCTTCAATTCTATTCCATGTGTTTATGTGTCTTTTGTTCAGTCAGTACTAGGCTGTTTTGATTATAGCAGCTGTATAGTATGTTTTGAGTTTGGGAAGTGTGAGGCCTCCTGCTTTGTTCTTTTTCTTCAGTATTGTTTTGGCTATTTGGGGCCTCCTTCCTTTCCATATGAAGTTGGTAATTACTTTTTTCCATTACAATAAATAATGTTGGATCAGGATCGCATTATATCTTTCTATAGATTGCTGTGGGTCATATTGACATTTTTAGAATATTAAGCCCTGCATTCCATGAGTAGGGAATGTCCTTCCGTTTATGTAGGTCTCTTTTAGTCTCTTGTATTAGTGTTTTACTCACTGCAGTATTGATTTGAATCTCTCTAATTGCTAGTGGTAGCATAGTGGCTAAAGCACTTGACTGCTAACCAGAAGGCTGGAGGTTCAAACCCACCAGCCATTCTTCGGAAGGAAGGTT